CCATGATTTTTTGCCAATAGTACATTCTAAATAATCCAACTTATAAATTAAGATTGTCAGTGAATATTATAAGTCTTCCTATAGCTATTTTTAAACACTTCTTTGAAAACTTTAATCATCTCAAATATCTTAAAAAAAAGAGCATGAAAGTTACAAAAAAGTATTTCAGAAGAATATTTCCACAGTTGTGGAATATCAATAGAACAGCAGCTCACATTTATTCCATTTTCTATGACCTTGAATAAAGTTCACTTAAAATTCTTTTTATTGGGAATCAATATTTTCTATTCGACATGTTTGTAAACGCTAAAACGTTTTGAAAACATCATTTACCTGTGTCTTTTAAATGAATCACATTCCTAAGATAAGAACTTTCAAAGAGACTGTCAACATTCGCATTAGTCGATATACAATTATGTGAAAAGCTTTTTATATAGGATGTTGCAAGATACGTCGTATACTAAAATCAAAGTTCTAAGTTTCTTAACTAGTGAGACTAAGATAATCCTTTCTGTTTAAAAATTTGAAGTATAGAACTCCTCAAGATTATCACAAATTTAACATCAGCATGTCCTACAAGTTTTGTCTGGAACATCTTTTCTATATCCTAGATTACTTGCCATATATTATATTATAATTATATTACAATTATAATAATAATAGTATATTATTATATCTGTAGTATATATTATTATAATAATAATAGTAATAACAATTAATTAATATAATTTTCTGCGTAGAAGAATAAGAATAAAATATAGAAAATACAAAATGAAATTTTCTCACAAGACACTTTGTTTTAGAAAAAAAAATTCAATTTCAAAATTTATCAAATACACGCGTATCAATGCAATTTCTAAATGAAATGTGTTTAGTAGAATGATCAAAATGACCAAATCGTAATTTTTTTTAACAAGTTTCACAGACTTATAACAATGGATGTTTAGAGAGATTCAAATGATTTCTCAAAAAACATATACACTAAATTTATAAACTATTCAAATGGTTAACTAATTCTAGATTGTAGATTATTGATTGAACCAACGAAGTGCATTAGTATGCAATATTTTAATACGTTAATTTTCAAATTAATTTCGACATGTAGGAAAGATGTGTAACTCACCTGAGAACATAAGCATCCACATGCTCGGTATGACAAATGCTAATGATCTCGCAACGAACGATTTTTAATAACGATTGCCACTTCCATCTGAAACAAAATTTCACCTTTGATCAATATAAATTTATACAACAGAAAAAAAAAAAAAACGAATCTTATTTTTTTTTTTTTTTCAATCACTCGTCATTATATTCATGAAAATCATTCGCGAACAATAATTTAATTTATCAATTCGCATTACAAACACTTACGTAATCAAACGAATTAATTTGGATCATTTATATTTCGAATGATAGATCTTTCATTCGAAAGAAGACGACTTCACTTTGCCTTTAGTATTTCAATAAATTTAGGTGCCTGAGTATAATTTTTTATATAATTTTATATATATATATATAAGCTTTTTTATTAATTTTATAATATGTGCACGAGATGTGAACTGATAATTCGCAATGACAGAGTATTTGATTAGATCCTTTACAATTCAGGCATACATACAGAATTATAATAATATAATTATAATAATATAATTTTTGATATTTACATTTGCAAAAAAGACAAGGATGGCAATTAGTAAACATTATCACAACAAATTTGTCTTTTCTTCATTATAACTTAAAATAAAGAAATCTCAACAATATTTCGTAGAACGGAGCTTGAACAAATACAATACTATAAATAATAATACGTCGATATGATATGTACGCGTCTGTCTTTAAATTACATGTTCAAAGATAGAATTTTTCATTATAATAAAACGATCAATTTTTTTTTCAAGTTAGTTGTTCCTCAACATAATATAAACTAAGTGTAATTATTGTTATGTAAATATAACTAAAAAAAAAAAAAAAATCGTAATACGAGAAAAAGTATTGTTTTAAAAGATCCATAGAAATGTGAGATTTCTCAGAGACGAGATAAGTATAAAACATTAGATAAAATTGAGGAGACGAGAAGAGAACTATTTTATCACTCTTAATACACGCGCACAGCACATGTATTTATCATTTGCATGTCCATCGTCGTATGAAATGTGTAATAAGAAATGCCCGAAACGAGGAAATATTAAAGGAGAAATGAAACGGATAGAAAGATTGAATTAATTTTTAAGAAATATGAAATTACATTTCAACGTGCTACTTTGAATACCAATGTTCCATCGTTATCATTTTGAATTCAAGATCAAAACGAAATTTCAGCTCAAGTTCATTTAAAATCAAAGACAATTCGATATGGTTGATATTGAAATTCTCTTTGTGCTAATGAAATAATACGACAACCAAATCGAAAATTTTCTTTGTGAATTCTAAAAAAAAAAAAAGATAAGTATAGTTCTAACAATAAGTATAAAATGATAGATTTTATTTAGATACGAAACGAGAAATGAAAAAAATGACTAATTTCTGACGATTATTTTTCCTTATGCGTTAGCTCATCTAATTAACATAATTATACAAATAACATAATAACATAATTATACAATAAACATTTGTACCAGCATTTAGTATTCTTACGCGTGCACTACCATAAGAGATAAACGTATCACGTGCTCAATAGAAATCCTGTGATATTTCACTCAAGTGTAAAATTATTAGCAAAATATGAGATTATTAATAAATATTCGTATTCGCTGAAAAGTAACGAATAACGTGGATAGGAATATTAGAAAATAATAGAGACAGTAAATATAATAATAAATAATAGATATAATAATAAATGATTAAATTATCATACTCGTACAAATCAAATTCAAAGGATAAGTGAACGCATTCAAGGAAAGTAAAATGAACTAATAAAATAAACTAGAAAAAGACGGCGAAAGTGCAAACGATAAACCAGCTACGTATGATATATTT